TGCCCGCTGCGGGGGGCGCGGGACCTGCCGGGCGGCAGCAGAGAGGTGTGAGCACCGAGAGAGTGGTTTTGCAGTAAAAGTGTCATGTTTTTATTCTCATCCATCCTCAAGATCCATGCTGGGACAGAGCAGGTTGCATCAAGTCTCTGTTCCTGCTGGTGTTGGTGCTGCTGAGCCCAGCTCTCTTACCCACATCTGCTGCCTTCCAGGCACTAAAGCTGAGGGCAGGGGACAAGAACTGCCTGGCTGCCCGCTCCAACTGCCACCTGAAACTGGGAGACACTGAAAATGCCCTGAAAGATGCTGAAGCATCTCTCAAAACTGACAAAACGTTCTCCAAGGTAAACAGCATAAAGTGACAAGAGTCCGGGTGGTCTTTTATTTGTGACAGCCTGAAGGTCTGGGAGACAGTTCTGTGTAGAAGCAGCTTAACTCCAAAGACACTCCTGGCATTTTTATTGATTCCAGAGAAGTATCAGAGAATCATAGAATGTTTTAGGTTAGAAGGAAGCTCTAAAGGTCCCCTAGTCCAGCCCTCCCACAATAAGCAGGGACATCTCACACTAGAACAGGTTGCTCAGAGCCCCATGCAGCCTGACCTTGAATGTCTCCAGGGATGGGGCCCCATCACCTCTCTGGGCAACCTGCTCCAGTGATCCACCACCCTCACATGAAGGAACTTCGTGTGGAGGTGCTTGCTCAGCAGCTGGATGGATTCCAGGTTTGGGTTTTGCTGTGTGCAGGTGGGGGTGGCAGGGGCTGTCCCTGCTGCCTGGCGGGGGGCACCGAGAGCTCTGAAGCTTTTGGGGTTTTTCTTCCCCTTTTAAGTTTGTTTGTTTGCTTTCTGAAATGTCATTCTAGGGAATTTACCAGAAAGCTGAAGTGCTGTATGCCATGGGGGATTTTGAGTTTGCACTGGTCTATTATCACCGCGGCCGGAGGCTCCGCCCGGACCTAGAGAAGTTCAGGCTGGGCATCGAGAAGTCGCAGGCGGCGATTGTCAACTGCGTTGGAAGTGAGGGGCTGCTGCTGCTGCTGCTGCTGCTGTCGGTGGTGCTTCGGCGCCAAAGCCCTCAGCAGTGCTCTGATTTCTTGTGGCAAAGCCTCTTTTTTAATTATTTATTTTATTTTTTCCTGGAGCAGAGCAGGACCTGCAGACGCTCCCAGGCCGGGTGGGCAGCGCTGGGACACGGGGGCGGCAGCGGGGGCGGTGCCGGGGGCGGGTTTGCTGTGCGGGCTCTCTCAGCCCGTGCTAAATAAAGCCATGAGATGAGCGAAATTATCCGCTGAGTCACTAATCATTCACCCACTGCTTTAGTCACCAGCTTTCCCACGCTGGGGGGATGTTGGCTGCTGAGGGGGCACAAACTGAATCGTAATCACATGAAATAGATGTGGCCCAAAGAACTGAAGTTGTGCTGCTGCTGCTGCTGCTGCTGCTGCTGCCACCCTGCTCTGCTCAGCCCTGCCCTGCTCAGCCCTGCTCAGCCCTGCTCCCTGGGCAAATTAACTCTGCAAGTGACCCGAGGACCCTGCACCAACAGAGTCTCTTTGCTCCTGGATTCATGGCTCAGTGGCCATCCACAGCTGAACCCAGGAAGCAGAAAGAGCACAGCATGAGCCTTTTTTATTAGTCTTTTTAATCTCTTTTTTTCTGAATGCCTATTCACATACAGTGCCCAACACTTTCAGTTATGTAAGGAAATGACAACACAAACGTAAATTTCCAAAGTCACCATGAAAATGGCTTAGATAACACAGAACAAAGCAGCTGTCAGACTTACAGCCCTCCTGACTGAAGGGTCCATTTTGAGATCTTTATCCTAGTACTCAAAGTTCACAATGAAATTGGCCTTGCTGCCTGTTCCTGGCCTTCTGGGGTCCTGATGTTCCTCCAGTGCACGTTGCATCAGAGCAGTGAAGCTGTTCCCTGCTGCAACGGGCTCTGCTTTCACAATTCCTGGCTGAGGTGATGGAGCCCTGCAGGAGACAGGAGGGCCAAGGACTCACGATGGTCAAAGGAAACAGAAAACTTGTCCCTATTCCCTTAGTTTTGTTCTGTAGGAATGATCCCATGGGCCAACGAGTGTGGACAGGAGGTGCAGCCCCACTCAGGCACAGGGACACACCTCAGCTGAGGCCACCACCCTCCACATGTGCCTGGAGCTCCCAGTGTGGGGCTGGAAGGCTGCAGCACAGCCTGCCCAGCTCCTGGGGACTGCTCAGGGGCATCCCACAGCCTGTCCCTTCCCAGAGCCAGGACACACTCACTGCACACTGGCCCTGATCCTGGAGATACCTGAGTGCCTTCCTCTCCCTGAAATCAGTTTCAAAGCTTCAATCCACCTCCATTGCCACAGATTTAACTTCTGTCCTGGCTGCATAAAAGCCTGAGGCTCTTTCAAATATGATGCTTATTTTAAAAAAAACAGGGCAAGTTTCCAGCTCTGGCTTTGCTTTCTGCTGTTATTGCTCCTTCCTTAGCTGAATACAAATGCCCAGGTTTCTTTGCACCTCACAGCTGAAATACTTGCCATGCTTGATCCTCTGAGCTACAGGCTTTAAATGTCTTCAGGCATCTGGGCTGCAGGCAAATGTGCTGCTGTTCTTGAACACTAATGAGGATTTTCTCTGTGTTTGCAGGTCCAACCTCAGTTAAGCTGAAGATGAATGAAAATGTGTGCTTCATAAGCAGGCAGGCTGAGGTACAGTCTGAAGCTCCTGTTTCAGAAGCTAAATAATAATACTTTCTGAAATAGGTATTAGAGGACTGATGGCTTCTGCAGGAACCTGGATGCAGATACAGCTGGGCTAGTGAGGTGTCTGCTGGGGGTGGGAAGGACACTAGTCTGTTGGAGGGTGTTCATGGACCTGCTGGTTCAAGCCTCACAATTTAAAGGAGAAGGCAGAGGGGCGGGTGCTGCTGATCACCCTCCAACGGCTAATAAGTAACAGCACTGAGGCTGGAGCCAGGGCACATCTATCTCCAATATTTACTTTGGTTCTGCCTGGTGTTTAAGGTTCATGTTCCTGATTTTGGACACTTCCTCGGTTGCTTCATTTCGGGGCGGTCCCTGGGGCGGCACCTCCTCCTCCAGGCTGCCAAACCCCCTTCCCCTTGGAAGGCAGGGCAGGGAATGATCGTTGCTTCTTTCAGCTGGAATTATGGGTACTCAGTGGTAAAAATAATGTATACAAAAGGGTCAAAATATCAGCACTGTAATTATTGAGGTTTGGGATGAAATTTCAGTAATGCCCTCCTGACATCAATTGGTGAGATGTTGATTTTCTGCCTTTATTTTAAAAATAAGCTGGTCTGTATGGAGTGCAGATAGAATTGTCCTAATTCTAGTGTTCCCCACTAATTCCCCCAAATTCCTTTGTTTTTTTCTCTCACTGTAGAGTAAAGAAGCAAATCAGAAATTCCAAATCAGGCTGACAAAGGATCAAAAACGGGCAAAGAAACAGGAGCCTGTGAGAAACCCAAAGATAGAACGACAGCTTCTTGGAGAGCTTTATGCTGACAAGGTCTACCTAGAAAAGTTGCTCCAGGATAAAGGTCTTTCTTCATTATATTTAATTAATGTTCTTTCTAAGCAGGCTCTATTTTTTCCCCCTCTTTTCTTGTATTGCTCTGACTACTCTTCCTTATTTGTACCAGAGCTCACACAGCACATGGTGCTTGCAGGGGCCATGAGGCAGGTGTCTGGAGAGCACAGGTATTGCTGAAGCCAGATTCAATATTCATAACTAGGTCTGAGCATATTTCCCTCCCTATTAGACAACAGCTTTTATAACAAACACTAAATCAACTCAAAGCAACCTGTGCTGATGAAATAAAAAACCAGAAACAGTATCATTACAAATCACTTCTGCCATAATGATAAATTGCACCACCAGCAGCATTAAGTGCAAAGCATCACTCACATGTAACTCATCTGTGCTTTTGTTAGAAATGCTGTTAAAATCAAGATGGAGAATTCAGAGAAGTATCTTATTTTAGAACTAGGCAGAAAGGTGATTCCCCATTAATTGTTTTTTGTTAGAAATGCTGTTAAAATCAAGATGGACAATTCAGAGAAGTATCCTAGGGAACTCTTTACCCAGGAGTAGAGAAGTAATTAAGAATTTAGGCTACACAGGTTTTATGATATTACTGGCATGAATAATGTATCTGGGCTGTCTGGTTTCCAGGCATGTCAAAGCCCTCTCAGTGTCTGTCCTGCAGCTGATCCACTAGACTCTCCCAAATGCCATTCCAGGACAAATGTCCACCCAGCTGTTCTGCCCAGGACAGGTGCTTGTTCATCACTGCTGCCCCGTTAGTTTGGCTCCTTCTTGGCTCATATCAGCAGAGAAGGCAGCAAAAACTACCAGGGCTGGGAGCAGCAAGAGAGCTCTCCCTGACTTCTCTCCTGATTGCATCTGCTCTGAGAAGCACTGAAGACTTTAATTTCCAGGACTGTCTCTATCAGAAGAGTCACAGCAGTGGATGAGCTACTGAACAGCAGCTCCATCCATCCCATACACTAACACTCTGCTGGGTTCTGCCTCCTGATTTGCAGATTTGATGGAGAGCAGGACAGAGAAGGGGATCAAAATAGCAGACCTGGTTTTGAGTGGCATTGCCTACCTGAAAGGTCGCAGTGAGTTCTGGCAGCAGCAGAATCCCATTTATGCCCGGGAGAGGGAGCGCAAGCTCAGGCAGCAAAGGTGGATCCAGGACACGAAGACAAAACCACCTGAGATCGGCAGATACATCCTGAAGAGCATGGAGGACATCGAGATGTGTAGGTGTCCTGTCTGGAAGCAGTAAGAGAATTATGATTGGCACATGTAATTATTTGCTGTAGTAATTACAGACCAGAACAAGGGCAGCAGCACAAGCATTAACAAACACTAGTAGGCAGCTTGGGGAAGTATTTGTGTTCTTCACACTTTCCAGCACTTTCCTAGAAACAGAATCAAACACATTATTTTTCTACACTTGAGATCTTGCTGACTGGTTTCCACAACACCCCTTGGACAGCATTCCCAGGGTCGTTTCCCCTTATTTGCTGTGATGGAAGCAGTGCCAGGTGGAGGGTCAGTAGTACTATGGGCAGATTTCTTGGAGACTGAAAGGAGCAACGTAGGAGATAGGTGAAGAGTCAGGAGCTCCAACCTTTCCCAAGCTTTGCCTGATGCTCACACAGCTGCACTTAGTTTGACTTCCCCAATATCACTGAGTCCACACACTGGAACTCAACTTTACTCTTTGTCTCTAGTGCTGACTGGTGATGACCCTGATGAAAGCTGCAGGAAAGCTGAGAAGTTGCTAAAAACAATACAAGAGTGTTCAGAGGAGGAAGTTCCCAACAAGAATGAACTGATTGGACACCTCCACAGCTGCATTGGGAAGGCCCAGTTTGACATGGGCCAGACAGAGGCAGCTCTGCAAAGCCACAAAATGCACCTGGAACTTGCCAGGGAGAAGTAAGTGCTGAGAAGTTCAGGTGGGTGGGGAGAGGAGGAAAGAACCTCTGTTAAGATGTTTGAGCATCAGGTGACATTGTAATTCTCACCTGGAGATTTAACATATTCAGACTCTGCCCAAGTGCCATGGTCTCCAGTGGCTCATTCTGCCTCTCTCCAGGTCATCTCCACTCCCTCACTGCACAAACAGACACACAAATATAATCAAAGACAAAACTAACCCCTGTGTGGGGGGGCATCAGGTACAAGAGCTGTCCATAAACCCAGAAATCTACCTCATCAAGCCTGACCTTGGGCCTCTACCTCCAGTTCTCAACACAGCCTGAGCACCAAAGAAAATACACAAGGCTGAAGAAAGCACAGGCTGGACCAGCAGCCAGACTGTGTCAGCCTCCCTGATTTCTTCTTCTTTTCAACCCAGTGACCTGCCCGACGCCGTGTCCAGAGCCCTGGAAAACATTGGCAGAGTTTATGCCAGAACTGGCAAATTCCAGCAAGCTATTGACACGTATGTACAGAAGAGGCATGAGGTTGGGGGTGGAATGAAACAGCTGCTGTCTTTCCAGGTTGTTTATTCATGCTGCTGGCAAGGAGGCTGTGACATTTTCCATACCAACAGCCCCTGGAACCCTTTGTTTATAGAATCAGTGGTTGAAATTATAACTGCCCCTAGTGAGGTTCAGTAAGTGTCTGCTTTTCTTACTCTGCCTGAAGTTGGGAGGAGAAGATTCCAATGGCAAAATCCAGGCTAGAGAAGACTTGGCTGTTCCATGAAATCGGCCGCTGTTACCTCGAGCTGAATAAAGCTGAAGCAGCCCAGAATTATGGAGAGAAGTCCCTGCAGTCAGCATCTGAAAAGGGAGATGTTGAGTGGCAACTCCATGCTGTCGTGCTAGTGGCACAAGCAGAAGGTAAAGGGGTTGGTACAAACGTTGCTCTGGCTGGAGACAGCTCCTCTGTTCAGCAGCCCAGGGAAAACATCTCTGGGATTTAACAGCCAGACTAACTGCTGATCAGGACCTGTCACTGGAGACCTGCTTGATTAACTGTTGTTGTTCTCTTGATTTTGGGTTAAAACAGATGTTTTCATTTGTCTGTTACAGTAAAATTAAAGGATTACTGGTCTGCAATCATGAACTTTGAAAAAGCCCTTGAGAAGGCAAAGTTTGTTCGCAATGAAGCTGCTCAAAAGGCCATCATCACTGTAAGTGGCTCAGTGCAAAGAGGAGCTTGGGGCAGCAGCAGGAAGTTGGCTGTAACTGGTCTGCTGGTGTGTAACTGCATTTCTAGAGCTTTTATTTCTCTCTTTCAGGCCTTAAACGATGTGAGCAAAAACTTCATCGAAGAGCTGAATGAAGGAGACCATACAGCATTTTACTCCTTTGAAGGTAGTTGTCAGCTAGACCTCTGCACTCCAAAAATATACTAAAATTCCTCACTTCCCTTTTCTGGAGCACAGACCAAGACATGGGAACAAAGCATTCCATTCAGGCAGCAACTTCTGGCCTCTGTTGCATCCTCTGTACTAGTACACACGGGAATTCATTTGTATATGAAGCCAAAGCGTAGTTATAATTTGTGGTTTGTGTTTTGGCAGTCAAGGCTTAATCTTGAGCAGGTAGAAACTAAAGTGAGGGATGTCAGGGAAGCCTTGACCGCAGGTAGCAAAACCTGCGTGGAAGCCCCGAGCTGTGGGGCTGCTCCGGCAGGGCCTGGGCAGGAGGTGGCAGCACCTCCCCGGGGACCGGCAGCTGCTTTGGGTTGGAAGGGACCTTGGAGAGCATCTAGATCCACCCCTGCATGGGCAGGGACACCTCCCACCAGCCCAGGCTGCTCCAAGCCCCATCCAACCTGCCCTTCAACACCCCCAGGGATGGGGCAGCCACAGCTTCCCTGGGCAGCCTGGGCCAGGCTCTCACCACCCTCACAAAAAAGAATTTCCTCCTCATGTCCAACCTACATCGCCCCTCTTCCCGTCTGAAACCCTCCCCCCTGTGCTGTGACCGCAGAACAGCAGAGCTGCGGGGATGCAGCCCGGGGCTCTGCCGTCGCTGCTGATCCCCGGGTGCTGGAACTCGGGCTCAAATTGCTTTTTTCCCCCCAGACCACAATTTCAGGGGTGCAAGGACAGAAGGCCGCGACCTGAAGGACGATTAGAGACAGTGACCGAAGTACAAGGAATTGAAATTAAAAGCAAAGAGAAGATGCCAGGAACGATACAGAATAACGCGGAAACAATAAAGAAGGGGGAAACAAATAAAACAGACGGAAAGCAAAGGGGGAAAGAGCCCGGACGAGGCAACAGGGGATGAGGAACCGCATCCGCACCCGGCACTGGGTCTCGGTTGCCAACACGAGTTCCCCCGCACCGCTCCCGTGGTCTCGCCCCTGCCCGCCCCGGGGGAGGGTCCGACC